GCAGTGGGTGTGGTTTGGGCTTTGCTTCCATGAAGAGTGACAGTCTGGGAGACCCTGTGGGCAGTTCCACTCTGTCCTCTAGGGGCGCTGTGAATCAGAATCGACTCCACGGCAGTGGGTGTGGTTTGGGCTTCTGTAAAGATTGACAGCCTTGGAGACCCTGTGGTGCAGTTCTACTCTGTCCTCTAGGGGCGCTATGGGTCAGAATGGACTCCATGGCAGTGGGTGTGGTTTGAGCTTTGCTTCTGGGAAGATGACAGCCTTGGAGATCCTGTGGGCAGTTCCACTCAGTCCTCTAGGGGCGCTGTGGGTCAGAATCCAGTCCAGGTCAGTGGGTTTGGGGTTCAGTGGTGTGGAGCATGAAGCTTAAATTCTTCAAAACTGGTGGCGTTTTTGTGCGTCCACCAAGGGATTTGAACAACTAGCTCCCCAGAGAATTGTTCAGTGCCATTCCTATCCCTCGGGGCACCTTATGCACCTATTTCTGCAGCTAGTTTCCCGGTTACCTACCATTTGAGGAATTGCTTCTATAGATCATCCACTGCGTTAGGCTTTGACTACGTAGCAGTGAAGAACACTGACCATCTTTGCCTTCCTGAAGCTTAAACTGTTTAACATCAAAAGCAGACATGAAACACCTCATCACATGTGTGTTAGATTGGGTTCTCTAGAGAAACACAAAAACCAGCAAGTATATATATATATATATATTTAGAGAGAGAGAGAGAGAGAAATTTGTCTTAGGAAAATAGCTCACAAGCGTATAGAAGCCGACAAGTCCAAGTCTCTGGAGGAAAATGGGCTGGCGACAGCCTTAGCTTCCGTGAGCGCAGGGGGCCGAGAGATTCAAAGCTGGCAGGCAGTGCGCTAATTGTTGGCTCCAACAAAAGGCGAATCCAAGATCTCCAGGCCGAGCGGTGGGCTGCTCCCTCACGGAAGTTTGTAGTCCGCACACCAGGATTCCAGTCCCTCAAAGAATGTGGCTCTTCCCAGGATGTCCCTGGATATCTTGGAAGCAGGCCACACCCCTAGGAAAACTCCCCTTGGGCAGACTGGCCACTCAGAACACAGTCATCTGATCCCATCATGGGAACAACCACACAGAACTGGGGTCCAGCCAAGTTGACACACAGCTCCAGCTATCACAACATGCAATGACTGTATTTCCTGACTGTTACATTGCCATCAATTTTCAGATGCATCATTTAGTGAAGCCTGTTCTGGGGGTAGGGAGAACAAACTAAGAAATTCAAAGGTAACGTGTTGTTAGGATTTGACAGTAGCCTGTATTTTCCTGATTCGTACCCGGCTCTAGCCCTTTATGTTTAATTAAGCCAGCTCCCCTGTCCAGGATACCACACTTCACATGAAATCTAAACATTTCATCGACACTGCCATTTGGTAGCATTTTGGGTGTTACCTAAATGAGAAAGACAAATTGAACTTGCTGGTGAATGATGACCTGGAATTCTTGGGCATGCTTTGTTACTCTTTTTTTATTACATGCATGTCTATCCACGTCTCCTGTAATCTGTAGTCGCTAGTTCTAGGAGACTTTGAGGACAAGGTGCCTATCGTCTATTGCAGGCCTGAGATCGAGGAGAAGGAGGTAGTCTTCAATGGTCAATACATAACTGTGTGGGAGCTAGAGGATAGTGCCCATCTCTCGTGGCTGAGTGTCCGCAGTCTGGATTTTTTAATACTGCACACCAGATTGTGGCTTCTTTTCTATGGTATCTCAAGTCATACTGACAGCTCTTGTTTAAACTTTTCTTCTTTTGTGATTGTTTTCATTTCATGGCAGGCTCCCTTCGTGTGGGGGATGAGATCCTAGAAATCAATGGCACAAATGTGACTAATCACTCGGTTGATCAGCTACAGAAGGTAATGGTAGGTATCTGCGATGTTGGATTACGATCTTCTGTCATCTGCCTGAAGTGTTGGTCCACGTTGGGATTAATGTACCTCATTTTTCTGTGTGTAGAGTACTCTTAGCTACCGCTAATCTTTGTCCTATGCCAGAAATGCCATTCTTTTCTTTCGTTTACTGAATTTCTAAAACTGGGCCGATTACCCAGAATGTCAATCCGGCTCCACTTTCTTCTAGCTCGGATTTTGAGGTGAATGAGCTTCTTGAAGTCCTTGTTTTCTCATTTGTAAGGTGAACACAGGAGTCCTTTGGATTAGCAGCCAAGTGCTTTAAGCACTGTGTCAGCAGGGGTCCACAAAGACTGCAGGGGATACTGTAGATGACAGTTGGCGTTTCTCAGGCACCTGCTGTATGCCAGGTACTGCTTGTGGTGCTTGTTCAAGATGTCTTCTGTTTTCCCTTGTGATTTCTTCTGAGACCTATGGCTTATTTAGGATTGTGTAGTTGAATTCAGATATGGTGGGATTTCCTGGATATCTTTCTGGTTTTGAGTTCTACTTTAACTTTCATTGTGGTCACATGACATAATTAGTATGCTTTGAATCCTTTTAAGTGTATTGAGACTTGTTCAGTGACCTAGCATATGGTCTATTGGTAAATGTTCCTCATGCACTTGAAAATCATGTGTTTTTTGCTGTTGTTCGGTGCAGTGTTCTACAAATAAATACCAGTTAGGTCAAGTTGGTTGATAGTATTCTTCACAAGGAAAATGAGGAAATATGTTGAACTGGATGAAGATGGAAACACAGCATATCAGACTGTGCGGAACGCCACTAAGGCAGTGACGAGGAGGCATCCGTGGCCCTCAGTGCCACTGTTAGGAAAGAAGAAAGGTCTCCGGTCATGGCCTCAGCTTCCACCTTAAGAAACTAGAAGAATAATCTAAACCAAGAGAATCAGAAGGAAGGAAGTCAACAATCAGAAATAGATTAGACAGGACCTTGGCAAGTGAACATGGGAGGACTTTTCAAAGAGAACTCTAAGAGAACTTGTAGTGTAATGGTGTACTTTTATATACATATATAGTGTTTGTGAAGGAGCTCTGGTAGCCTAGTGCCTAAGGCATTTGATTGCTAACCTGAAGGCTGGTGGTTCAAACCCACCAGCCACTCTTGGAAGGGAGAGTGGGCAATCTACTTCCGTAGAGATACTGCCTTGGAAAGCCAAGGAGGGGTTACTAGGAGTCAAACTGCCTCGACAGCAATGATTTTGGAGCTTGGTTTGGTTATACAACATTTGTGTCTGTATTTGCATATTTACGTAGAAGCTAACTGGAGGGTGTGAGGGAAGTGATTTATTACTTTGAAAGTGCTGGGAAATAAGGAGAAGAGTGAAGCATCTATCCTGCCTTTCCCATATGGACTGGACCACATGGCAACCACATTGTCAATGAGGGGAAGGTTTCTTTGTAGAAGAATTCAAACTGATAAATGAAGACGATGATAGAATTAGAATCCTGCTTTTTGCAGCTTGTCATGCCACCATGAGTTGGAATTGACTCAACATAATGTATGTCTTGTTTACAAAAACCAAACAAAGCCAATGCCATCTCTATGTATGTGTGTGTGTGTGTGCATCTGTGTACATAACACTGGATGTATATGGCAGTGCGTTGCTTGGTGTGGGCAAAGGTGCAGATGTGTTCCTCCAGTCTTCATCTCCATCTTCTGGGCCTCTGGGGGCTGTGCGTGTGGAGGGGGGCAAACGGCAGTATTTTCTTCCTTATTCTTTGTACATCTTCACATCGTTTCTCTGCTTCCTGGAGGCATATGGCACTTTCAGAAGGACAGAAGACCTGTCCTACAAAATTTCAAAATGTAAAGATGGCTGTTTGGAAAAAGGTCTGAGGCTTTGAGAGTGGCAAAGGACTTTCAGAAATCCAAACTCATCCAAGTCGGTGTTCCTTACTATTTTGTAACCGCCTCTTTTTTTTTCTTTTTTTTTTTAATAGAAAGAAACCAAAGGAATGATCTCATTAAAAGTAATTCCCAACCAGCAAAACCGACTTCCTGCACTACAGGTAGGTGGCACTGTCTTTTGGCTGTGGCTTCAGGCCAGTTGCAGTGATGCCTGGCTTCAAGCCCAGTGTTAGGTTGTGCTTCTTTGAGATTTGATTGGAAGAGAGAGGAGTCTAAATATCTCACAATAGAACTACACCTGCATGTATCTTGAGTCAGGGCCTCCTGATACCTCACCATGTGCTCTCTGTGTCAAACAGATGTCAGTGTGAGAACATGGGACAGTATGTATACAGCTGTGATTTCTGGCTTCCACATTTTATTCCTTATTCATGCCCACTATACACTTCCTTTTTTTGTTGTTGTTTTTATTGTCATTTGGGTGAAAGTTTACAGAGCAAATTCATTTTCCATACAGCAATTCACAAACACTTTGTCTCATGACATTGACTGCAATTTCTCACAATGCAACAGCCTTCTTACCACTCCCTCCCCATGGTCACCTCTTCCCTGTGTCCTTCCCTCTATGCACTCCTGTTCCCCGAGCTGTCTCCCTGTATATACACAGCCCTTCTATTCTCCCGTGATTGATCTCTCCAGTGAGCGTATCTACCTCAGGTCAATGTTCAGCTCATATGACTATGCACTGGACACTTCTTAAATGGAAATGGACAAAGCTACAGCTCATGCCGCCTCCCTTGAGGCAGAAGTGAGTGTGGATATTAGTGATTTAGCGATAACATTGTCATGGTGTCTAGACCTGGTCAGCAAGAAGGCAGCCTCTCTACTAATGGTCATGAGGGGCGATGGCTCATTGCCTTACTCTGCTGATGGTGAAGAATCCGTACGGCTCCCAGAGAAAAGTGGGCTCAGAGAGAACGATACAAACAGTCGTTGAACATATGAACGGAGAATGCAAATTAACCTTTGTCTGAGGTAGCAGTTTTTACCAAGCAACTTAGCAAAAGTTATTAACAACAATATTAAAAAAAGTCCAGTGATTAATTATGCCCAAATAAAGAGAGAGACTTTTGAACACTTCTTCAGCATTCATTGAAGGTCTACCCTGTGCAAATCAGTCCTCCATCAAAAGGAGGTCATAGAAAGACCTGTGGGGCTCACAGCCAGCTCAGTGTCTGGGGGAGGAGAGAGATGCACGCCCTCAGAAAGGCACAGAACCCAGCCTTGGCATCTAAAAGGTGGAAGGGTAAAACCCACATCAACCCTGCTGCCGTCAGGCCAACTGCGACTCACCGCAGTCCCACAGGGCAGAGGAGAACTGCCCAAAGAGTCTCCAAGGCTGTCAGTCTTTATGGGCGCAAAGCCCAAAGCACGCCCACTGCCATGGAGTCGATTCCGATGCACAGCAACCTTTGTGAACAGAGCAGAACTGCCCCATAGGGTTTCCAAGGCTGTCAGTCTCCCTGGAAGCAAAGCCCAAACCACACCCACTGCCGTGGAGTTGACTCACAGTGTCCCTAGAGGACAGAGGGGAACTGCCCACAGGGTCTCCCAGGCTGTCAATCTTCACAGAAGCAAAGCCCAA